TTAATATATCTCAGTATTGTTTACCAAGACGTTGCATTGCATTGCATTAGTGCATTGAAATTTATGATTAAATTGATGCTAAAATGATTAATCCAATGTTCTCATTATTGTAATGTACCTTTTCATAGGATACATTAAGAAAATTTTAAACTCTCAGCATTCAGTGACATTAATTCAACATTTTTAGACAGATATATGAGGAATCGATAATAGTTAGATTACCTACTCTGTGTCTGGCCCTCTACTTACTAAATGCTTATATCATTTAATTAAATAACTTGCCTGAGACCATACAACTAATGAGTGGCTGTGTCAGTACTTGAACTTGGATTTTTATGACTCTAACACTGGTGTTTGGGTTGTTTTTTTTTGTTGTTTGTTTTTTGAGACAAGAGTCTTGCTCTGTCGCCAGGGCTAAAGTTCTATGGCCTCAGCCTACCTCACAGCAACCTCATACTCCTGGGCTTAAGTAATCTTCCTGCCTCAGCCTCCTGAGTAGCTGAGACTACAGATATGCGCCACCACACCCGGCTAATTTCTGTTCTTAGTAGAGATGGGGTCTCGCTTTGCTCAGGTTGGTCTTGAACTCCTGATCTCAAGTGATCCTCTCACCTCAGTCTCCTAGAGTGGTAGGATTACAGGCATGAACCACCTTGTCCAGGCAAGACATGTATTCTTACCACTGTGTTTATACTGCCATTTTTGTAGATTTTAATGATAGCCCTCTAGAGCAGTAATTTTCAACTGGTATGTCATGAGAGGATATTAGGTGTGCTGTGAAAAATTTTAAAGATCATTAATTATTTTTGAAAGAAGTTCAAAGCACAGTAAGTAAATTCTTTCGTTTATTCTTTTACTCAGGGTCTCACTCTGTTGCCATGGGTAGAGTGTTGTGGCAGCATAGCTCACAACAACCTCAAACTTTTGGGCTTGAGTGATCTTGCTTGGTTTTTCTATTTTTAGTAGAGACAGAGTCTTGCTCTTTCTCGGGCTGGTCTCGAACTCCTGAGCTCAATTGATCCACTCACCTCAGCCTCCCGTAGTGCTAGGATTCAGGTGTGAGCCACTCAGCTCAGCCCTCTCTCTCTGTTTTTTCTTTGTGATCAACATAATTTAAGTGTGCTGTAGAAGTTTAACTACAGGTTTAAGTGTGCCGTGAGATAAAAGAAGTTGAAAAGCACTGCTCTAGAGGATGTTATATTTTTCTTAATTGCCTGACACTTATGTTTATATTTATAATCAGATAATAAACATACATTGTTAGAAATGTCATCAACACTTGAGAAATCTTTCATCTTAAGTTTCCAAGTCTGTCACCTATTTCTATGGATGTGTGTTAACAGTCATACACTGTTTATTGTCTAGTATTGAAGCTGCTTCTGGTGGTAAAGCTGAAGTTATCACTTGTGATGTACTCTTGGTTTGTATTGGCCGACGACCCTTTACTCAGAATTTGGGACTAGAAGAGCTTGGAATTGAACTAGATCCCAGAGGTAGAATTCCGGTCAATACCAGATTCCAAACTAAAATTCCAAAGTAAGTGGATGATTATCTGCATTTTTAATAGTTTTAAATTTTATTTAAAAAATATTTTGAAAGAGATAACTTTTACATATAAAATGTGTTAGATTTGGGAAAGAATAGCAAACTTATAAGAAGTAAATGAAAAATAATTAATTGAATTTTTTATTACTCAAAGATTAGAAGCTAAATTCATAGATTTTTGAAAAGCTGCATTTGAAATGTATTTGGGTGACTTATTAACTACACATTTATACTTTTGTTGCCATGATATAACTGAAGGTAAATATTTTCGATTTTATAAATTCATTTGTTTCTTTTGATCTCTGTGGTAGTATCTATGCCATTGGTGATGTAGTTGCTGGTCCAATGCTAGCTCACAAAGCAGAGGATGAAGGCATTATCTGTGTTGAAGGAATGGCTGGTGGTGCTGTGCACATCGACTACAATTGTGTACCATCAGTGATTTACACACACCCGGAAGTTGCTTGGGTTGGCAAATCAGAAGAGCAGTTGAAAGAAGAGGTAATCCTCCCATGTGGGTGGTTTTATTCTGATGTGTGAACTGAGCTAATGACACTGTTGAGAGAAAGCATTTTATCATTACATATTGCATATATAATATATATTATATATGTGTAATATGTATGTAATGCATGTATATTGTGTATATATTAATATAGAATTATATATTGTATTAATATATTTTAACAACTGTAAAATGTTATAATTTAGTTTATATATATTTTAAGTATATACTTTTAGCTTCATGAAGAGGTCATTCACTTAGATTTACCAATGATAACAGAAGGAGAAGTTGTCTGTATTCAAACACTAGTAATTCCAGATCTTTTGTATTTAGCTTTGCAGCTCGTCCAAAAGTTTGTGTGCAATTTAAAGTTACACACGAAGCTATTTTAAATTATACACGAACTTTGGGATAGCCTTTATAACTAGATGGACAGACAAGTGTGTATTTACTTGCTTTTGTGCCCAAAATATCTTCAATTGACCAGCCTTTTGGTCTTTCCTTCTGTATGCTGTGTGAATAATTACCATCTTGGGATTTATTTTCTGAACAAATGGTAGATGATTTCACCAATGAGAATGAACTTTTCCAGCATTTATGTAGGTTCTCTTGATCTTTCTCACAGGGCATAGAGTACAAAGTTGGGAAATTCCCATTTGCTGCTAATAGCAGAGCTAAGACGAATGCTGACACAGACGGCATGGTGAAGATTCTTGGGCAGAAATCGACAGACAGAGTATTAGGAGCACATATTCTTGGACCAGTGAGTATTGTAAAGCCAGGGAAATCCCACGAAGAGTTATAGAAAACATTGCTATTTGTTAATTTTAAACCACCTGCTGTTTTCATTCTGAGGTTATAATTACCAGCAAAATTTTGACTGTGGCCTCTCTGTGCATCATTTCTAGTGTACAAGCAGCACTCTCATAGACTTGCCCACCATATCATTTACTTTCTATACTGAGCCAGAATCATCTCTCTACAACACACACCAGGCCATGGCCTTTCTTCAGATCCTCCAGTAGTGTTTTTAGCTTCAGACTGTTACAAAGCTTCGCGAATCTGTTCCTGTCTACCTTTCTGACTTCATCTCTTTTTGTTCTCCCCCTTTGCTTATTAATTCCATGCTCCACAAGCCTTCTTCCATTGTCATAAGAGGGCAGACTTGTTTGCATTGTAAGGCTATTGTGCTTGTAGTACTCTCTGCCTAGAATGCTCTGCCTCCATATCTTTGAATGGCTGGTTCCTTATTGTGCAGGTCTCATTTATCTTTTAAGGCAGTGATTTTCAACCAGTATGCTGCGGCATACTGGTGTGCTGTGAGAGGATCTTTTAAAAAATTTTTAAAGATTCCTAAATTATTTTCAAAAGAAGTTCAAAACGCAGTAAGTATATTCTTCTGTCTCCTTTTTTTTTTTTTGATCAATGTAATTTAAGTGTGCTGCAGTAGTTTATGAGTTCAAGTGTGCCATGCGGTGAAAAACGCTGTCTTAAGGGACGCAGGACACCTTCCCTACCTCTAAGCATAAAGTATGCACGTGTATCCTCCCTCTACATATCTGTTGTATCTGATGTGACAGTAATGAGAATAGAATATTTGAGTGCTTAATATGTCACTTTTCCTAAGTATTTATATTAACTATGTTTTTATAACAGCTTTGTGAGATAGGTGCTGCTTTTGTTTTTGAGGTAAAAAACCTGAATGAAGCACACATCCAGTGAGTGGTTGCAGTAGTAATTGGTAATAAGAATCTAAGCCATTTGGCTCCAAAGTCCAAACTCACCTGTATCACTTTTTCTGTTAAGCATTTCCTGATTTTTTCCTCAACTACTGTAACAGCAAATATTTAAGGCAATTTTAAGATCTAAAAATCTGCTTTTTAAATTGTTGCTAACTGGAAGCAAATTTATTTCTTGGTTTGTTATTTTAAAGGGTGCTGGAGAAATGGTAAATGAAGCTGCTCTTGCTTTGGAATATGGAGCATCCTGTGAAGATATAGCTAGAGTCTGTCATGCACATCCAGTGAGTTTTGATGGCATACAGAATTAATGGCTGTCTAAATTTTCTTCTGACCCATAAATAATTGCTTTTTAATTCTAAATTTCTTCCTTTTCAGACCTTATCAGAAGCTTTTAGAGAAGCAAACCTGGCTGCATCATTTGGCAAACCTATCAACTTTTAAATAGAAGATTATATATATTTTTTCTGAAATTTCCTGGGAGATATTGTAGAAGTTGCATTTCTGAACAGGATATGCTCACAGCTCCAGGAATTCCTAGGACTGAACTATGAATCTTTTGGAAGGTATTTAATAGGTTTGGACAGAATGGATAATCTCACCTTTTTCAGTACATTAATATGCAGGACAGAAAGCTTCATAGTGGCATTCTGCAAAATATTCATCAACCCATATTTTCATGCTTCTTATGAAAGGTTCAGTATCACTGAAATTTGTTATTAGCTTTTATCTCTGATACAGAAAAGTTGAATTTACTTTTATACGGATGGAGCTGGAGTATGGTACGTGAATAGTTATGTTTGAAGCAAGGTGATCAAGTTATTTTTAATTTGGTATTCATATTGGAAACAAGTCAGTCATTTGAATACGATTCAAATATGTATAAACCTAACTGATGTAAATAAAAATGGTCTCTCACTGGTTTTATTTAACTCAAAAATTTTTGTAGTTGAGGGGTAAAGTTTGTGTTTGAGATTTTTAAGGTTCTTTTGAGGTCTGTAGGTCTGAAGGATTAGTTATACAATAACCCAAATTAGAACAGTCTAT